CCCTCACCAAGACTCCTCTTGGATAATCTGCTGTTGCCTTGTGTCATGGAGATCCTGCAGCATTGGGTCTGCAGGACTGGTCCCTTCACGTGCTCCAGTAGATCATAGATGGGGTGGATGTTGGAGTGGGCCGACTCATAACCCTGGTTCTGGGTCTGGGTAGTTGCAGGGTTGGTCAGCCTGCCAGCTCTCCCTTGTCCTCACCACCAGGGGGAGCTCTCCAGCACTGCCCTGGCTAATTCACCCCTTGCAATGATGAGCAAGGGGCGGGGCCTGGTTTTATACCTTCAGGGTCTGCTCTCCAGCACCTACACCTTCAGGGCCATCTCTACTGAAATCACCTCAATTATAATGCTTTTTCTTATCACTCTCATCGGTTGTGAATTTTGGGGGGACAGCTTTGGTGGTGTTTGTGGGATATTGCTGAGTAATATGATTGCCTAATCCTGATACTGTAGAAAATTTAGAATATTTCTATTTACATTAATAAGTATTCCAGAAGATAAAGTACAATGATGGATATAATCCCCATGAAATATGTAACTGTATCAGACACAAAGTACAGTGTTGCTGAGTATTTGTTTAACTATGCAAAGATGTGTTGCATTTGTTTAAGTTGCAAAATACTTGTGTAACTATGCAAAGATGTGTTGCATTCATGTTGTGGAATATGTGTTGTATTTGTTTAATTATGTAAAGATGTGTTGTTGTTTTACTTTGCCTGCCTAAGGCACCTGATTGGTCTAATAAAAAGGTGAACGGCCAATAGTGAGGGAAGAGGTATAGGTGAAACTTCTGGCAGGGACAGTGAGTAGAAGGAGGAATTTAGGCTCAGGGAAGAAAGACACCAGGGTCAGCCAGCCATGGAAGAAGCAGGCAAGTAGGACATACAGAATGGAATGTGGCCAAATGTAGATGAATAAAAACATGTTAAATTAAGTTAAAAGAGCTAGTGGGACAAGCCTGAGCTAAGGCCAAACATTCGTAATTAATGATAAGTCACCGTGTCTTTATTTGGGAAGCTGGTTGGCAGCCCAAGGAAAATTCCAAGTACAGTACAGTCTTCCACCGAAGAGCTGTGTTCCCTTGATCCCATGCAGCTAAAATTCCAGCCTCCCAGCTTCTCTTCTGCTGCAGACTCCTCTGAATTATCTATTTCTCTTAGAGACCCATTGGTGTCTCCTTTGATGCCACCTGTCTCCAGAGTCTCTACTCAGATGTCACATACTGTTCATTTGTCACTGTACTCAATACAATTTAGAAGAAAGTTATTTCCTACCCAACCTCCAAATGAATAGGAAGTGGGCTTCTTCGGTTTCTTGACAGTAGGCACCTTTTCTATCTTTCTTTCTTTCTTTTTTTTTCTTCTTTCTTGAATGGGCTAAAGAGAAGTCCCATCTCCATTGACTTTCTTCTCCATTGACTTTCTTCTCCATTGACTTTCTTCTCTGTAACTCCAACACTGGATGCATTGAAAACTCAAGTTCACCAACACCAGTAGTCTATTTTATCAATGGCGTATTACTTTGTAGTAAAGTTAACTTATATAATGATAGCGTGAAATATAGATTTACTTCAGAGGTAAAGTAAGAGAGATATCAGAGTTAAAAAATTTTTAATGTTAGATAAAGAAGTGCTACCAATGTTATTTTGCAGCTAGCATTCAGAGACCAGCATTTGGTGACAGAGAACACACTCAGACACGCACCCAGAGTGGCCACCCTGCCCAGCTGCTCTGATACTTTGCAGAGGATGAAGCCATGACCAGTCATCTCGGCTTCTCTGGCTAAACAACTGCTGTTTGCTCAAGCTGAATGTAGACTTCAATTTAATCATTAAAATGCAAAGTGTAGCTGTTCACTAAAGACTCCCCCTGTCAGATTTGAATAACGGGCATGAAATGTTCTTTATTAACAAATGCTAGATTGTGTGTGGTCTTAGTTTTAATCGACATATAATACTTATACATATTTATCAGGTAAAATGTGGTAACGATAAATGCTCACATTCTGTGATAATCAAATCAGGGTAATTAGTATTTCCAACTTCTTAAAAATTATGGCTTCTTTGTGTGTGGTCTTTGACTGCTCAAAAGTTTTTTAAACAGGGAAACAAATTGCAAGAAGCCACTTTTTCAATTTTGACAAGCAAACAAATTTTCCTTCAATTCATGAGTCAATATATAGATTTCTGTTCTTTCTATTTTTATTTTCTTCTTGGTCTATTGGTTGGTTTGTCTGTCTTCCTCTGTCTCTCTTTTTGTAATTACTAAGTAAACTTAGCCATTTTCTGAGGTTTTCTCTAGAAAAATTTCATTTATAGACCTTCTTATCTGTTGCTTTATGAGCCTCTAGCATTTGCTAAGCATGGTACTTTGACAATTAGACATTTTGGGTATATATATATATATATATATATATATATATATATATATATATATATTTATATATATCCATTTTTTCTTTTTATTTATTCTTCTCTCATATAATACATCCCAATTGCAATTTTTCCCTCCCTCCACCTCCCCTCTTTCCCAGATCCGTTGCTCCTCTATTTCCCTTCAGAAAAGAGCAGGCCTTCCAGGGATATGAACTCAAGACAGCAGAATAAGAAGCAATAAGACTAGACATAGCTGGGCGGTGGTGTCACACGCCTTTAGTCCCAGCACTCGGGAGGCAGAGGCATGTGGATCTCTGTGAGTTCAAGGCCAGCCTGATCTACAGAGTGAGTTCCAGGACAAACTCCAAAGCTACACAGAGAAACCTCGTCTTGAAAAACAACAACAAAAGACTAGGCACAAACCCTCTTATCAAGGCTGAACGAAGTCACCCAGTAGGAGGAAAGGGTCTCAAGAGCAGGCAAAAGAGTCAGAGGTTCCCCCACTTTCACTGTTAGGGGTCCCACAAAAACCCCAAGCTAAACAACCACAACATACATGTAGAGAACTTGGCACAGACCCATGCAAGCTCCTCATTTTCTGAGTCAGTCTCTGAATACTCAGTATTTCCTTTCTTTTTTGTTTTATATTTTCAGATTAATTATATGTGTAGATGACTTACATGTTAAATAACATAACATACTCCATTTTTAATTTTTCACTGGGATATGAGATATGTAGAAATTTTAATGCACTATAAAACCAAGATGTTTCCATCTCAGTGTTTATGTGAACACATTACTCAAGTACCATGAAGCTGTTATTCCATTGTTTCTAATTTTGAACCAAGTGCTATAAATTATTTTTCTCAGCTAACTTTTTTTCTTTTTAAATTTAGTTTTTTTTTTTTTTTTTTTTAGGTTTTTCGAGACAGGGTTTCTCTGTGCAGCTTTGCGCCTTTCCTGGATCTCGCTCATCTAGACCAGGCTGGCCTTGAACTCACAAAGATCCACCTGCCTCTGCCTCCCAAGTGCTGGGATTAAAGGCGTGCGCCACCACCGCCCGGCTAAATTTAGTTTTAATTTAAAACCTTACAGCTTTCCCCTTTCAGGTGCCCCACCTCATCCATGGCCTCTTTTTTTTTTTTCTTTAATTATGATTGGTAGATATGCAAGCTAACTTTTCTTAATCTATCAAATGAGCAAACTCTTTTACACATGTTCATTTTCATAGGGTCTCTTCTAGGAGGTGGTAGGAAGTAACGGGTGTAAAATAAATCAGTTTGAGTGAGCCAGTCAGTAGAATTAGGCTGAAGGCTGTGATTCAAGGAGACCTGCTTCCTCCTCAGAGGTCTCTTTGTGCTGGTGGACTGTCTAGACCTGAAGCTGATGCTCTTTTTTTTTTTTTTTCCAGATGGGGGAAGTGTAGGAAGCTCAAATTTGGCTGAGGGGGAGGAGCGTTGTCAGGAAGAAGAGAGACCGCTGAGAGGAAATACTATGTGAAAGGTTTCAGGGAACTGGAACTTGAAACCGGATAGTTCCTAATAAAGGCTGAGCCGAAAGAGTCTAAAAAAGGGGTGTGTGGAAGGGCAGAGACAAGTCTTCTCTTGGATGGCTTCTTACACTTTGTCCCCTGGCCACCTCCTTTTGCCCAAGGCGGGGAATATTGTATGCTAGGCAATTTATTAGGCATTTTGTATCCATTGTTGTATTTAATTATACATAAAAACAAGCCCACTGGATAGAGCTGCACAGTAACTTTTTATAGGCGCTTGAGTATGTGTGTATATAAAACATTTTATAATGTACTATTTAATGATGTTTCACCCCCTGAATGACACACTTGAAGAGATACTGGTTTTGTCAGTTCCTGGGCATTTACTGCTTCTATCTGCTTTCCCCAATTTTTGTTGTAGTAAGATGCACATAACAAAACTAGAATCCTAGTCAGCTTCAGGGTACAGTGTATCCACACTGCATACAGCCATCTCTACTCTCTACCTCCATAAATCTTTTCAGCTTGCAAAACAGAGAAACGAAAACTTCCCATACCTCAGTCACACTTTTGCAAGATTTAATTTTCCCTTGGCCTTAACACTCCAGCTATGGTAAGCTATAAGGGAGTGCCCGTGGGCAGCAAGCCGGGGGCTACTTACTCTTCAGGCCTCTTCTAAGCACTTCGAGAATATCTACTCACATAACTAGTCAGCTAGCATGTGCTTTGCACGTGGCAGGGATATATTTGTGGAATGAATTTCCGTACCACTTCAACATTTCCCAGTTAACTCTTGTCATTCTGGATGGAATGTTAGGAGAGTTCCCCGGGGGCAGAAAAAAAAAATCTGACACTGTAAAGTTTACAAAAGTCTTCCTTTTAGCCACTTTGAGACAGGGACGCTCTGAGGGAAGTTATTTCTAAATGATCGAGAACATAGGAAGCGACTCAACTCCGTTGAGATCTTCCTTCTTTCCCTGGGACGCGGTGGTCAGCTCGGAAAGACTCAGGAAGTGAAAATTCTGAAGGGCAGCTTAGGACTCTTCACCCAAGAACGGGCGGACAAGGGGGCGTGGCCTCGAGTGGGCGCCACCAGGGGGCGTGGCCCGACAGCGACAGGGCGTGGCCGTCCGGCCCGGGGCGGGGTGCGCGCCGGCAGCGGGCGCGATGGCGGCGGACGGGGACTGGCAGGATTTCTATGAGTTCCAGGAGCCGGCCCGGAGCGTCCAGGACCAGGAGAACTGTAACGCGAGCCCGGAGGCCGGAGCTGGGGCCCACGCGAGCGGCGACAGCTTCCCGGCCTTGGCCTGCAGCCTGGAGGAGAAGCTGAGCCTGTGCTTCCGCCCCTCGATGGACGCCGAGCCCCCGCGGGCCACCGTGCGGCCCATCACCGAGCGCAGCCTCCTGCAAGGGGACGAGTGAGTGCGGGCCCGGGAGCTGGGCGGGAGCGAGCGGGGCCCTTCCCTCGCCCTGCCCCCGTCGCTGCCGGGAGTCCGAGCAGGCCCCGCCCCGCGCCCTCCTTCCTCCTCGGCCGCTCCCAGCCCCGCCCCGAGAGCTGCCCGGCCTGGCCAGCTGGAGTTTAAATGCCCCGCTGCTGCCCCTGCCTTCCCTTGAACCCTCCTGCAGACCCCTGTGTGCTGCCTTGTAGGAGACCCTGCCTCCTGCGGCACGTGTGGGTCATTATTCATTCATTCACTCCACTCGCTTCTGTTAAAGCCCCCCGCCCAGGGCTTGGCCCTGGGCATTCCCAAAGTGTACCTTGCTCCTCTTAAGTAGGACATAAGGCGGGATGGGGCATAGGTGTGTTAAAAACACAGGTTTTTGTGGGTGTGATGAGTGCCTGGATAGATATTTCTACCGGGTATGGGAGATTTCAAAGGGGGTGTCCGAATGAAGAATTTCAGAGAGAAAGCCACCCGCACATTGAATCCTGATGGAGTTAGGTGCGAAGGTGCAGGGGTGGGAGGTACCATTGAAGTCCCAGAAGTCTGTTGGGACCACGACAGCAAACTGCCATAGAGGCAAAAAGTGAAGGGCGTTAGTTACTAATGACAAGGATCCAATAGTGTATGGGGAAGACCAGTGCACTCAGGCAATGGCTACGGAATCTTCTATTGTGATTAGCGTCAGTGAGGACATTCACAGGGGTTGATGAGAGCACTTTATCTAAACACCTTGACCCCAATGATCGTTTGGCGAAATGAAAGTTGTAATTATGTACCATGGTTTTGCCCCAAAAGATAGTTAAAAAAAAAAAAAAGAATGCTGAGAGCCAGTGAGCTAGAGTGGTTTGTTTTTAGGGAGAGAGGAGGTCCTAGGGAGGCCGGAAGTGAACCGAGTCCTCTCAGAAGGTGATGAGTGGGACTTGTTTGCAAAGGGGTGGAGGGACGAGAGGTTAGTGGGGAGGAAAACTTAAAAACCATTTTTATTGCATTTGATTAATTTTGTGTGAGTGTGGGTGGGTGGCTGCAGCAAGCCTGTCAAGTCAAGTGACCACGTGTGGGCAGTGATTCTTTTCCCCCCTGGGTCCCCAGCGTCATTGGTCTCAGTGGCAGGCACCTCCACTGCCATGTGAGGAATTCTTGAGTGATGATAATTATGAAAAAGTTTTTTTTTTTTTTTTTTTTTTTTTTTGTTTTTCGAGACAGGGTTTCTCTGTGTAGCTTTGCACCTTTCCTGGAACTCACTCAGTAACCCAGGCTGGCCTCGAACTCGCAGAGATCCGCTTGGCTCTGCCTCCCGAGTGCTGGGACTAAAGGCGGGCGCCACTGCCGCCCGGCATGAAAAAGTTTTAATTCCTCAAGGAATTAGGAGATTGGTCAAGGAAGAGCAAGGAGAGAGAGGGCGAATGTAAACATGGATGAAGAGCTGTGTTCCAACGCCATTCTTTTGTAATTGTTCCTTTTGCCCCAGGGCAGAGGAGGGATACGTTTATGCTGGGATTTTTAAGTGCAGAGATAGGCTTGCAGAGCATAACAAAAGGTGACTTTTGTGGAATTTCCCAAAGGGAAGATAGCTTCATATATGTGTAGATTTGCACACTTTAATTATGGAGACGTACTGCCTCATCTGGATTTTAAAATTATGAGTAACTGACTTAAAACAGACGAGCGAGGCTCGCACTAAGATTCTTAGAAGACCTATTTTTGCTTCAGCTGGACATTCTGGAAAGTTTATTTCAGCCTGTGCTTCAAACTTAGGTGGCTGTAAAATCTAAGCTATGTTGTTGCCCTTTCCTGTTTTGTTTCTTGTAGCCCAGGCTGGCCTTGAACTTGCTATGCAGCTGAGGCTGACCTTGACCTGATCTTCCTGCTGCCCTCAAGTGCTGGAATTACATGGCATAAGCCACTAAACCTTTTGGCCTTTTGTTATTATTCCCCCTCCCCTCAATTTGGAGATCGAGTCTTGTAGCTCATTTTTGTAGAGGAGGTTGACGTTGAACTCCTGATCTTTCTGCCTCTACCTCTTGAGTGCTGAGGTTACAGGTGTGAGCTAACACACCCAGTTTTCTGTGCTGTGGGGCTTGATTCCAGGGCTCATACAAGCTAGGCAAGCATTTTAGCATTTGTGCTTTATCTTTCAAGCTACCCCCACCCCCACCCCCAGCCCTTTTAAGAGGTAGGGCTCACTTCTTTGCCCACTTGAACTTCGCTTTCAGTTTCTGTCAGTATGGATTGCAGTCACCTGCTGAGGGCTTCAGGACAGTGTCTCCTGGAGCCAGGGTCTATAGGACTTTGGCTAGGAGGGAGTTCTTCCACCAGCTGTTTATGACGGGTCATAATATTTATGATAAAGACAAGGCAGCTCAGAGGTCTTGACCAGAGAATTCTGGAAATCTTTGAGGGAAGTTGGTCTGTCCTTCCAGCTACAATTGTTCTGACCTTGGGAGAGAGCACACGTCTTGTTTATTCTTCTTTCTTGGAAGCTAGAACCCACAGCTACTCCTTCCAGGAGAGATACTCCACTGTCTTTGTCTTAGAGCTTCTTTAAAAAGAAGGATGTCACCAGCAGACAAAACAACTCCTCCAAACCTGGGACGCCTCACCTTCTAGAATAGTCTGTGTCCCTGGCCAGGATTAGGTATATAGTCGGTTGTTAGCGTTTGAACAGTTGTGGCCCAGAATGGTCAAACTCAGCAAGGAGCTGCTGTTGCCTCCAGGTCTAGTTCATTGACACTAGAGACCATCAGGTTCCAACTGGGAGGCAATCTGAGTGAGCCTTACTTATGGGAGATGTATAGGGTGATAGGTCCCACTTCCTAGAGCTTTTGGGCTTCGTGTTTTTTCTTGAGGTTGATTTGGGTTTGGAAGCTCACATACCCCTTGGGGTGTTATGCTTCTGGCAGCTTCTATTCTTAAGTCAAGTTTGTTGCTTTTCCAGTTTTAAATTTAATTTGTTACGTTTTTGTTTTTTTTTTTCCCCTTGCTAGGATTGTTTGTATCCTGATCGCTGACAAACTTGGGGGGAAAAAAAGGTTTATCTGAATATTTCATGACTTATTATTTACAAGTAGATAGTTGTTACAAATTTTAACTTTTAAAAAATGTGACATGTTAGTGTAGTCTCCCTGTAAGTAGCTCAGATGTGCAGTGTTTAACCTCACTTACCCTAACTAAATTTCATCTTGTTGATACCTCTGAACTTATGCTTCCCCCCCCCCCCCTATAAAACATGTCTTACTATGTTGATTATTATTTTGGTACCAAGCCCTGAATTTTGATCATGAAGTCTGTTGTCTTTGTTCATCGTGGTTTGTGATATTTTTCAATACGATTTGTTTGAATTAATGCTTAGAAGCTGGAAAAGGTGCCTGCCTCATGTCTAAACTTGATTTTGTAGCCGGGCAGCTGATACCCAGGCAGGTTAAGGAACTTGGCCAAAGACTGGCTCATTATTTGAGGGAAAATGCCCCTTCATTTTATCCCATCACCCCCAACCCCAGATACTGTTTGATAAGAAGGTGGGTAATTGTGTTGACTGTATGACCTGCCTGCATGCATGTGATCCCTCTATCTTTCCCCTTTCATGAGCCTCAGTCCTTATCCTGTTACTTTACAAATAGATATTAAACCCTCTTCTCACACGGAGACCGAATCCTTTCTCCAGAAAATATAGAATGTCTTTGGAGAGCACAGTGTGTTTACTTTGTCTGTTTCTGGAGACAGTACTGAGATTTTCCGTGTTTCCTGGCTCTTCACTTGGAAAATGAGGATAAGAAAGGTTTCTGCTTCTAATGTTGTTTTTGAGGATTAAACGAGTCTGTATATTTTCATGTGTATGTGTGTCTATATCTCCTTTCTATCTACACTGCTTGTTTGTTTTTTTTACATTTAGTTATTGTGTGTGTGTGCCTATGTGCTCTGTGATTCTCCTGTGTATGTGCCCTATAAACTTTGAACAGTGTCCTGCACATAGTCCAATTATGATTTTTTATGACTCTAGTTCTGATGATGTTTTTCTAAGAAATGATGCACCTTCTGTTTTCTTTTTTATTTTAATTTTTTTTTTTTTTTTGGTTTTTCAAGACAGGGTTTCTCTGTGTAGCTTTGTGCCTTTCCTGGAACTCACTTGGTAGCCCAGGCTGGCCTCGAACTCACAGAGATATTTTAATTTTTAAATTATTTTTTTTATTCTGGGCCCTTTTACAATAGTACTGGATTTTCAACAAAAGCTGTGTAGAGTGTTACATTCAGTGACTGATGTTTTCTTCTGTTTAAGGATTTGGAATGCCCTGACAGACAATTATGGGAACGTCATGCCTATAGACTGGAAGTCATCCCATACGAGGACTTTGCATTTGCTCACTCTGAACCTCTCAGAGAAAGGGGTAAGTGAGGAACTGGACCAGAGTGGCTGCGTGCCCGGTCCTGATAGTGGGACATTGGGGGGCAGCATCTCTGAGCACACGTTTGGGGACCCGCCTCTTTCTTTCAAGCGACTGGCCGGTCCACTCCTGCCATCTTGTCTCCGCTGCTGTCTCTTCACTGGGTCAGTCTTGCCGTTCCTCCTGTGTTCATTTTTACACCAATGATCTCTGTTTCCTTCCGCTTATACAACTGAACTGTGATATGGTGAGAACACCCGGAATCCTACCCTTTTATTTAATATATTGGGGGTATTGGGATATCAGCAGGGAGTAAGTGTTATGTGATATAGTGATGCTAGGCATGACGTACATTCCTGTGAATATTGGGAAACCATTAAGAGACATTTCTGTTTTTGACTTTTTCTGTGCATATGTGTGTATGTACACTCTGAGTGTGTGTGTGTGTGTGTGTGTGTGTGTGTGTGTGAGTGTGTGAGTGTGAGCGCATGTGCGTGTGCATGCATATATACATCTGTGTGCATTTATATGGTGGTTGGCATCGGGTATTCACTTAGTCATTTTCCACCTTATTTTTTGAGATAGGGTCTCTTATTGAATCTGGAGCTCACTCATTCAGCTCAGCTGGTCACCCAGCGAGCCCCAGGTATCCTTCTGTTTCTCTCTTTCCAGCCCTGGAATTATAGGTTGCATTCCGCCATGGCTTTTATGTGGGTGCTGTGGATCTGACGTTAGGCCCTCATGCTTGTGTCTCCCCACTTTAGCACCCGATGTCTTCCCATTGCTGGTTTTTGACTTTTTAATGTATGTCCATCCTGATAGTGCCATTTGAAAATCCCTCAGGTAACAATTGTGAACACAGTGATGGGGGATGGTCAGAGGGAGGAGAATGACTTGAAGTAGACACTCACGGAGTTAAATTTGTTTAAAGCCGAGGAGGGGCATAGCCCAGTTATTTGAATTTCCGATTCCCTCTGCTTCAGGTTCTTCAGCATAGAACAGTGTAAGCTCATGTCAGATCCCCTGGCACACTCTGTTTCATTAAGTGTAATTGTGCGATCACTGGCCATGCAATGCTGTGGGGCTGTCAGGATGTTAAATAGTGTTGTTCATGTTTCATGACATGATTTTCTTACCTACGTGACTCGGAAAAGCCCGTTGCTTTCAGTTTCTGGTGGACTGTGGAATTCTGACTCTGTTTGCCAGAATCCCTGTAGCTAACCAGTCTTCACTGCTTCTTGCTGTCAGTAACCCCCTTAAGCTTTGCAGGTTGACCGGACACACATTCACTAAACAGGCCCAGAGCTGGATAGCCTTTGTTCCATCTTCTATTTATTTGGGGCCTGGCTGTCATGTGGGGCTTTGTCCAAGTTCCCTCCCTCTCCGAAGCTTCCTATTACTGTTTTAGCCCTCACTGAGCTCATGGAATTATACAATTTTAGAGTTGGAACGATCTTTAAAGGACACTTAATCCAGCCTCTCAGATGGGGAGAATCCCCACCTACAGCATCACTGACAGATGGTGACTTCACCATGGCCTAAATCCTTGCGCGGAAGAAAACACACTCCCATGTAGAAATCGGAGAGCCCTGTGGAGATGTGAACTTCTCCAGGATTGGTTTTCTGTCCCACTGAGGTTAGCCCTGTTGTCGCATGGGCACTAGTTCCCACAGTGTGGTGTCCACGTGTCTTTGTAATCATCACGGTGCTTTCTCACTAATCATGTTTCTGAGTCTGTCATTAATTAGATTGTGACTTTCTAGTAACCATCTCGATGCCTGGCACTTAGCGAGGACTGTGTAGCCTGTTTGTGGAGTAAGTAAATGAGTGAATGATCTTCTCACTGAGACTGTGTCCGGCATGTCAGAAATGGTGATGGAATTATTTTTTTCTTTTGAAAGGATCCTTGAGTATTTTTTTTTTCTGAGTATACTTTTTTTTTTTTTCCCCAAGACAGGGTTTCTCTGTGTAGCTTTGTGCCTTTCCTGGAACTTACTCTGTAGTCCAGGCTGGCCTTGAACTCACAGAGATCCACCTGGCTCTGCCTCCCGAGTGCTGGGATTAAAGGCGTGTGCCACCACTGCCCGGCCGAGTATATTTCCTTATTGACATTCTAAAAAAAAAAAAAAAAATAGCATCCAGCAGTTCATTTCATAGTTTGAAAAAACAGCGCAGTAGCGCCATGAATCAAGCACTCTGATCGAACTTCACTGAATAAAATATAAATCTTGTATTGTTGTTACTCTGTAACTCCACTCCTTTTGTTCCTCTGGATGCTGTTTGTAATGCCAGAGTAATGCTGTGGCCATGCTGGTGACTAGCAAAGACTTGCCATTTAATGCTAGGACTGAGCGTGAAACGCTTTACCTGGAAAGACTCAGGAGATTAAAATGGACAAGTGATAATCCATCAATCGATCAATCAATCAATCATGTATCGTGCTGTGGCTATTCTTTTGTTGAATAGAATTGAAACAGAACTCCCCTCCCCAGAAATATCATAGTATGTACAGAGTCCCTGAAGAACAAATGTGCAAATATTATATCAAAGCAATCATGTTACTCTTTTAGGTCATACATAATTAAGAAAAATTTCAACCTAGGAAAGTGGTATTATTTATCATCACCATTTTGGTGCTGATGATTCTTCCCATGACTGAATAAAATTTTACTTTTGGAAGCTCTCTTTAGATTAGCCTCGTTAAAAAATGGGATCTAGCCGGGCGGTGGTGGCGCACGCCTTTAATCCCAGCACTCGGGAGGCAGAGCCAGGCGGATCTCTGTGAGTTCGAGGCCAGCCTGGTCTCCAAAGCGAGTTCCAGGAAAGGCGCAAAGCTACACAGAGAAACCCTGTCTCGAAAAACCAAAAAACCAAAAAACCAAAAAAAAAAAAAAAAAAATGGGATCTATAAGGGCAATTTTTTTTTCCCCTCAAGAATAAGAGAATAATTTACTTTTTGTATTGACAACATTTAGGAAAACAATAGTTAGATGTCGTTTTCTTCCATTAACGGTTCGCATGGGTTGGGTCCTCCCTAGAAGCCTGGCATAGTCCACATTCTTGCATGGGCATGTTCTTTCTATCTGCTGTGTGTGCAGTTGAAGGCAGGGGAACTGGGCTCGGCTGTGTCTAACCCGGGCGTGGAGGAGTGCAGGGAAAGCTTGGCTCCGGGAAGGCACATTGTGCTTGGTGGGAGGGTGAGGAACGAACCCATGGCCATCAAGGTTAGCTTTCAGAGGCCTGGGCATGTCCAGCCCTGGCCTACCTCCCCTTGGTGAGGAGTGGAAAGGTGATCTGGGATCATTATTTCTGTTGTCATGGAAATTTAGTAGTACAGCATTCCTAGTGTGTTTGGAACCTGTTCTAAATGAGTGAGTGCTCTTCCTTAGTGTGTTTGTGCGATGGGATGCTTCTCTTTCGGCTTGGACTGTCTCTTGTGACTTGTCCCATTCCTTCTTGTGCAGAATCGCATGTTCTCTTCTCTTCCTCCTTCTCTTCTCCATCCTCCCCTCTTGACTGGGTCTTGAGTAGCCCAGGTTGGCCTTGAACTTGCCACCTAGCTGAGGATGAACTTGAACTGCTAGTCCTTCTGTCTCTGTCTCCCGAGTGCTGGAATCACAGGTGTGCACCACCATGCCTGGTGCAAGAAGGACTATTTTCTAGTGCATTTTGATATCTTGAAGAGTAGAAAGAGGACAAATATGATAATGTTTTATTCCTTAATGGTAATTTTAAAATTAAAACTTTATTTATGAGCCGGGGAAGAAAAAGAAAATTCTGATGTTCAGGCTACAAGGAAGGATGATGGGGCAGGGGAGTTTGAAGTGTGAACATCCTGATGACAGTTTATAGACCATGAGTGTCATATGCTCCAGTGATCACATTACGACCTTACCAATCCCCCCACCCCCAACTTCGTTTCTGTGGCCTTGGAATCAAGTGTCCACTCATGAAGAGCCTAGTCTAGTCTCGGAACCTTCCTTACTGGAATGAGTTCTTAAAGAAGTAACCGTCATCATTTAGTAGCGAACTCTGTGGAACTGGGATGTGGAGGCTGCTCTTGCCCTCCATCCTCCATGTCTAGTGCCACTTCTGACACCTTCAGCTGCTGCTTCTGGCTCAATTTTAGTTTCCACTGTTGCACTGTGCACACTGACCTTCCCAGAGGATAGAATTGCGCTCTTACTGTCCTCCACTCCCCACCTCCAACCCCCACACAGACTTTCCCTTCTCCTGCTCTCCCATGTAATCCTGGCAGAATCCCTGGTTACGTTCATCTTGACATTTTGTGTGTGGCATGATTATTTAGAGTCACACGTCAATCAGCCTCACAGGGTCATTTCAATAATATGCTAGTGGGACCCCAGGTTCTTCAGCTGTGGATCTGACCCCAAGTGGAGCTGCATAAGTGAATGTGGGCATAAGTGAATGTGGGCAAGTAAACATTTCTAACACACCCCACATCAATTTAAAATCAAATGGGTAATGAATCCACAGTGTTTCTGCCATGGTTCACTTGTTGCATCATGTGACTTTATTGCATCATGTGACTTTGCCGCAGCCTTGGTTCTGAACACACAGCAGGTGCACTTTGCCCTGCACATGCCACCACGCCCTTATTAATGTCACCTGTAACATCTTGGCTCAGATTCGAGACTATTCTGGTAAACATGCATTGCAGTGTTTTCACTGTGCATACAAGTTTTTTGTTCTTATAGAAGCATAATTGTTTGATCACAGGAACCAAGGACATGGTATTTTCTTGTTCTCATTCTGAGCCATGCAGGTATCACATCAGTGTATCTTCGGATTGTAATGTTAGAATGTTGGACTGTAATTACTGTTGTTTGAGTTTCTGACTTGAGTTCCATCAAGAATTGTTCAGTGAATTTTGGCTTAGGATCAGGACAGGGTTTCCAGTAGTCTCTGAAGTGGCCCTAAACATGCTTCTGCCCTTTGGTACTATATATTTGGCATTCTTAGCATTGAGGATAATTAAAATCCAAAACTTGATCGAGTCTGAAAAGCATTGAAGATATTTTGTGTCTTGGGATATCAAATTTTCAGCTAAGATTTAATTGGTATGCAAAAATAAACCTATACATGTACCTCACTAGTATGCAGATTTGCTTTCATTTGTAATTCATGGAAAAATACATGTTTCCCAAAAGAAGTGTTGCAGAATACATTTCTACATTTCCTTATGTCTTATTATCAGTAGATGTTTGATTTGTATTCTTAGTTTATATAGACCCCAGGGCCATGCAAAAATTTCTTGGGTTAAAAGGGGTGGTGAATGCTGGGCAGAGGTGGTGTATGCCTTTAATCCCAGCACTTGGGAGGCAGAGCCAGGCGGATCTCTGTGAGTTCAAGGCCAGCCTGGTCTACAAAGTGAGATCCAGGACGGGCACCATAACGACACAGAGAAATGCTGTCTTGAAAAACCAAAAAAAAAAACCAAAAAAACAAAAAAAAACAAAACGGGGGAGTGGGTGGCGAGTAGACAGTTGAAGAGACCTAGAGTAGACAGTTGAAGAGACCCAGAGTAGACCATCAGTGTCTTCTACTGATTTCTGTGTGCCTGTGCCGTGGCAGTTCGGTGAATCTCTCTCTTACCTTCCCAGACATCCGTTCGTGATTTTGACTTCCTCGGTCGTGGAAGAGTGACCTTTGCTCCTGCATTGTCTCTGCCCCCACGATTGTCTCCTTGTTTCCCCCCAAGTCTCCTGTGGGTGTCTTTCTGAGAATGCATGCAGGAAAGGTGAATTCTTTGAGTACCGCACATCTAGAAATGTCTTTATTTTTAGCTTCCGCCTAGTTGTTAAATTGGCTGGACGTTCGATTCCAGGTTCCAGGATGGGTTTTTTTTTTTTTTTTAAACAGGAAAATTGCATTGATTGTTTTCTGGCATCTGTTGTTGCTGTTGTAAATCCAAGTGATATATTAATTCCTGACCCTTCTTTTACACATGGTGTTCTGAATTTCACGGGGGTGTGGGTCAGAGACTGCACTGCCAGACCTTTCCTGGCCCAAGATGCTGTGAGAAACAGAAAGGAGAGGGGCATTGTCTCCAAGGGACCCCAGGGACTTGAGTCCGTGCTGACAGTAGACCTGGTGAGCTGCAGCCTTTCCCACCCGGCCATGGGAAAGCAGCATGCCTGTGGCTCCTGCCTATGCCCTTTCCCTTCACCGGCTTTATTCTGGCTGACATTCTTCTGCAAGCCCCTGTGTAAGGAACTGGGAAGGCTCTAGGGACCTGCATCTGCTCCATTGTATCCCGAACTTTAAATATATCCTATGTACTAGTAAATAACATCGTTTTCCAGATAAACTTCCCTTCCCCCAGTAGTGGGGTTTGAACCTAGGGCTTTAAGCAGGTTGTTTCAATACTCCACAGATGAACTAGATCCTGAACCTTCTTGTACTTTTCATTTTGAGAAGTTTATTACTAGATAACTAGAAGTTATCTAGACTGGCTGTGAACTGACTCGAGATCCTCCTGCCTCAGCCTCTCACTGCCATTACAGGCCTGTGTTCTTACATTTACATTAACAACACATTAACAACGTGTTAATTTAGTTATGCTAAATATATTATATTTACAAATGGGTGAGTATTCCATATCCAAAATGCCCGGGACTAGAAGTCTCTCAGATTTTGGATTTTTAAAAAATTGGGATATTTGTAGATACACACTGAGCTATTGAGGTGGGATCAGGTGTAAACATAATTACATTTGTTGTTTCATAAGTACCATATGTACATAGTCTGATGGCAACTTTATGTAATACTTTTGGTATACCTGTGTTTTGAGCATTTTGAACATTCATATGAGGAATTTTCCTCTGATGACATTGTGTTGCTTCTCAAAAAGCTTCTGATTTTGGGACATTTGATTCTAAAGGTTTTTATTTATTTACTTAAACATTTCAGATTACAGTTTCTTGGCCTTTTATATAATATAATAATTGATTAATATATCATCTTAATGATATACCATGTAATGTAATGGCATAGTTTTTTCTTCCATAGTCCTTGTCACCCCTTTGTTATCATGGTGTGTTAATTGTTCTTGGAGAATAGAGTTCTGACGTTAGTTCTGGTCACCAACAGAATAGTCCTGTGACAGTCGGTAAATGATTCGCAGCCTGCTATCTAGATAATCATTCCTTGACTCTGTTGAGTGTCCCCAGGTAGCTTTTACAGTTGCTATTGATACAAAATTCTCAGTATTCCTAAAGGGGCTGTTACATTGGGTTGGGTAGGCATAAGAGAAACTGACCAGGCATGATGCAGTACCCCAGGTGTGGCTACAGCGACTTGATGATATAATACCCCAGGCATGGCCACAGCTACTGGTACTTTAGCAGTCCCAAGATGAACAGGAAAATAGACAGAGAAGTTTCTAGAATCTGGAGAGATTAGCTGAGAAGAACGCTGCCTGACCAGAGCTGTGGTCTTTGATTCAGAGCCAGAGCTGACAAATGGCATTCTGGCAGAGAGGAAGACAGCAGGATGCGTGCCCAGCCCTCTCCTTCTCACCTTGCAGTCTCCTGATGTCTGTCAGAGATGTGGAACCCAGCTGGATGCCACAAGTCAAGGGCATCCTTAGATCTGGTCCATATGGTCAGCCTCCTGGATCCACAGCACAGCAGAAAATGGAGGCTCTTTAGCATAGTTAGGCTTAAAGGTGTTTTAGGAACTGAGAGATACTCTTCCTTCTTTTGAAAAGAGGGATGTTTGTTTTGAAGGGCTGAAGGTCTCATGGATAGGTCCTGCCTGCCAGGGTGTTGATTACTTTTATTCTAAGTATTTGAATATTAGGAAGTAGTTTGTAGATAGCTCTGTAGAATTGAAACACATGCCAGTTTGTTAACTATGTACTTGTTGCTACCTTCCATTCCTTCCAGTGCCTTCCAATTTGCTAATAAATACTGTTATTATTATTATTATTTTGTCTTCTATACAAGTGTTAGTTTTTATACAGCTCTTGTAGCTGCTGCTTCTGGAAAAATAGCTGTATGTTTGTGTCAGACCATAGGGGTGCATGCCACACCTTGTCATTTTAAAGTTTGTCCTATACTGTACTTCCTGCTGCTGGGGGAGTATGTAATGCATTGTGTGGCCTGGTCGAGGGTCACTACTGACTCCTTTCCAAGGAATAGCTCTGCTGCGCGTGCTTCCCAGTGCTGCTTTGGCACAGAAATGTTGACGTTTGCATCAGAAGGACTTGTTTTTAAATGACTGTACTTTTGTTTTCAGATGAGTGATGGCTTGCTCTTTGACACCTCAGATGAGGAGGAGCTGAGGGAGCAGTTGGATATGCATTCGATCATCGTCTCCTGTGTCAACGAGGAGCCCCTCTTCACTGCAGACCAGGTATGGAGGTGAAGCAGAGCCTGGAGCTGAGAGCCACGTCTTACCACAGCTGGAAATGATGCTTGTCAGAATGCCTGTGTTTGCCCTAGACTGTGTGGCTAATGCAGCTTTGACACTGAGTCTTCAATGGAGAGGTGAAAACACAGTATATGCTGTCCAAGGAATTGGGGAGATTTCCAGGCTAGACATTGTCTGTGATTGATTACAAGTTACTAACGGAGGGTTATTCCTTACCCCGCCCCCCCCAAAAATTGGGACTTTCTTACTTTTTTATAAGGTTACCCTAACATGAATGAACTGGACACTATTTGAGTTGATATTTTTGTCTGTTTTGAGGCAAGGTCTCATCATACAGTACTGGCTGGCCTAGAACTCCCTATGCAGACCAAGGTGGCCTCAAACTACAGAGATCCACCTACCTCTGCCTCCTGAGTGCTAGAATTAAAGGCTTGAGCTACCATGCCTGGCCGTGCCAGGCATATTTTTGTAAAACCTCGGGTAAGAATCTTTAACAAATATTACAAGTATCTGTCACGCACCATAGAGGGAAGCCAACATTATACCTGTGTAGTGCTGTAGTAACGTCGTCAACCCTGTGTTCATTGGCAGCCACTCCAGTGAGCCTTGTCATTTTCTGACTACTCCCCCCACCTCCACACTGTTCTCACAGTGTGACAGCAGAACTTCTTGAAATAAAACGTTCCGTGGCTACGTGGGCTGTGAATTCTGTCACGTTTTATTTTTAGGCAGGGCAGAGAAGGTCAGTAAGGAGATACGTGATGGCAAGGTCAGAGGGGTAAATGGACACGATAAGAATGTCCTGCTGATGGTCCCTGCTTTCCTTTGTGGTTGGATTGTTCTAGGCTTGAAAACTGTGCTGCTAAGGAGAGAGGTAATGCTATTTACAGAGGGCATGTAAATCCCGAAAGAGAAGTGACCCCAAGCAGGCCCTGTCTCCTCTGGAAACGAATTCTATCGCCTCCTGGAAAGTCTCATTGTACTGTTGACAGTCCTTGAGGGGAAGACTTTCCTCCTCCTTGGCACAGACCTTCTTGGGTTGGCTCTGCACCAGTTGAAGAGCTCCTTAGGAAGTTTGCTGATTCATAGATCCTGTCCAATGTACTCACGGCACTTTGTATCTTCATTGAATTGTATTTTTTTCTTAATGGTTAAATGCCCTCTCACCCGATTTTAAATATTTAGTACCTTCCTTCTGCCTTCCTTTAAAGTTTCTACTTCCCTTTTCGCTCTTAGAATCCGGGACCAGACAAGGTACAGTTGAGTCACGCTGTGTTTGACAGTGGGTGATGGTTGAATTAAAGGCTCGTGTATTCATTCCTTCTTACAGCCTCTTCCCCATCTGATTCTGGTTTTGGTGATTTAAAAATGCCCCTTTGTCTTTCACTGAATTAATAAATGAAATTCTTTTGCTGCTAGAGAGTTAACATCCTGCTTTATACATGGAAATTTTTATGAATATTACATTTTGTTTTATGTCAAAGTTTTGGTTACTCTAGATTACATGACAACATTACGTTGAGTGTGTGCATGTGGTTCACAGCATGTGGTGCACACACATTTTCCATCTTTTAACTATAATTCAGTCTGCATAAATCATGGCACCAGTTTTCAGATACGTGAAGATGTACAGGGGTCTGCTGAAATGCGATGGACATACCAGATCATATTCTGTTTAATTTTGCGTTCATATATTGTAAGTTCCTTTTGATAAGCTGTGTTCACTTTCACGTGCGCTTCCTGCACATGATAAGGACTTATGTACTTTACTTGGGTGTTCTGGTGAGTGCTGTGGTACAGTCGCCGCTTCTCTCGCATGCATTTATTAACAGCAGTATATGTGTTTTGGAAGGTTATTGAAGAAATTGAAGAGATGATGCAGGAATCACCAGACCCAGAAGATGACGAGACCCCCACACAGTCAGACCGGCTCTCTATGCTCTCCCAAGAGATCCAGACTCTGAAGAGGTCTAGTATGAGCAGCTATGAAGAGAGTAAGAGACCCTCCTTACCTCAGTCTCTGGGCTTTCTGTCCATGTCCAACACGTAATATCAGCGTCTCCAGAAAGCGTTCATCTTCTTGGGTCCTCTGGCTGTACAGTTCTCTGTACATACTTTGTCATTGTTCAGGACTGTGTTGTATTTCCTTCAGACCCTGGACTAGTTTTCTGGGGCTTTTGGAAGAATTTACTGCAGACGGGGTAGCTTCAGCAGCCTGAATTTATTTCCTGGTTGGTCTGACGGCCTCAGGTCCAAGGTTAAGGGTTGGTTGTTTCTCCTCCCTGGCCTGTGGGTGTCCATCTTTTCCCTGGCCTTCCATCTATACATATCTGTGTCCACATTTCATCTTCTTGTAAGACATAGGTCTCATTGGATTGAGCACCAGCCTTGTACCCCATTTTAACTTTATTTCTGTAAATATTCCAAATGCTGCTGTATTCTGCAGTACTTAGGGTTAAGACTTCAGCATGCATTTTTGGGAGAGACAGTTTAGCCCATAAAATGCAAGATCGTATGTACTTATTGAAAATAATTCCTATGTTGACAAATAGTTGTCTTTGATAGAGCTTTGAAGAGTTTTGGGAAGTGGAATTTTGTTAGAATTGGATCTGTGTTTGTATATGAGAACACTGAAATACTATAAATACTGTGTGGCTGGTTGTCACAAAGAGGTTCTGAATAATTCTACCCAGCATGGGACTGCTCTGTGCATCTGTGAATACCGCCATGCCTGGTTCCATGCTGGCTAACACCCCCGTTGTGATCTGGGTTTGTATTTGTGGCCTGACCGGAGGTCTGAGGCTGGGCTGCCTCAATCCCATTGTATTATGTGGCTTCTTTTTAACCTGTGGAAGGTCCTCTGACACACTACATTTCCGCCTCTGATGGGACGTAGCCACAGCTCTGTAGATAAGCCTTAGCATTGCTGGAGTCCTGATCCCAAAGCCCAGCGTTGATATATGGTGAGGTTCAGGAAGTATGTATTAGTTAGCTAACACTCCCATAACAAACAGTCCCTCAGACCGGGTGGCTTGGACTGTGGGCTTTACCTTCTCTCAGCTCTGTAGGCCAGGTGTTAAAATCCAGCTCCTTGGCTGGCAGATGTCTTCTCTGGGTTTTCATGTGGTCTGATTTGCCGTCTGTGCTGTACTCTCTTTGTTCTGGAAGGACAGCAGTTATATATAAAGTCCATCTAATACACTCATTGTCATTAGACGACCTTTCTGAGTCCTTCCCTCCAGCTCATCCAGTCTCATGGTGAGGGACAGGCATTAGGACTTCAGCGGTGCTCTGGCTCTCCCATGCCAGCTGGGAGACTGTCTTCCCACTTCCACTTCCGTGGACTGTCCCACCATTCATGTCCCCGATCTTGAGCCAGATTCACGAGAGGGGCCATGTAAGATTAAACAGGCATTTAGTTTAATCCTTTCCGATGGACTCCCCCTAGAACCCTGCCCGGTAGCCTGTCCCTGTGTGTCAGCAGGCAGTTTCTGTCCCTCCCCCCACCCCCACCCCCACCCCGGTCCCCCCTTCTGTGTCTGTTCGTTTCCTCACACCAGCCTCATGTCAGTCTTGGCTATAGTACTAGTCATGGGATGCTTGATTTAGGCACATAAGAAATAATTAGATTTTTTTCATTTCCGCTGAGTGGCATTGCTACTTACCTCTGCTCAGATCTGCCCACCAGAACTTCTTAGCTTCCAAGATGATCCCAAACTGTCAGCATAATTGCTTAGACTTGGATTTTGTTCTTTGGTTTAAAACACTCCGTTAAATGCCGCCTCGAAACAGGTGTCTTAGGATTCACTGCTCTTTGTTTCTGGCCACAGAAGTGAAAAGGCTCTCGGTATCCGAACTCAATGAGCTGCTGGAAGAAATTGAGACAGCCATCAAGGAGTACTCCGAGGAGCTGGTGCAGCAGTTGGCTCTGAGAGACGAGCTGGAGTTTGAGAAGGAGGTGGAGAACAGCTTCATTTCTGCCCTGATTGAGGTGCAGAACAAGCAGAAAGAGCACAGAGAGACAGCCAAGAAGAAGAAGAAGCTTAAAAACGGCGCCTCTCAGAATGGGAGGAACGAGAGAAGTCACATGCCAGGCACAGTAAGTGATGTTTGCAGGAGGCACCCAGTGCTGCCCCCAGGTCACCCCAGCACAGCCGGTCAGCGGTGGGTCTGGCAGGTCTCTCCTGTGTGAGAGTGGTGAGCCTCTGACCAGAGGGGACGCCACAGGGACGCCACAGGGACTCTTTGCTAGAGCGTGCAGCTTCTTTGGGAACGTGTTTCCTAGTGATGCTTATTGCCCTGTCTGGATACCTCAGCACCTGAATGTGTGATGGGGACGTCAGTGGAAGGTAGAGCAGGCAAAAGAAGGATGTCTTGAAGCAAAGAGGCCTGGCCAACGGTCACTCCTTACGACATCAGAACGATAGTAGTGGACTGTTGTGTTTGGCCAGCAGGCTCATGAGTGGTTTTATTTTCTTGTTTGTGCTTAGCTGTGGGGTTGGATTAGAAGACACGAAGAGGGTCCTGTTGGGGTATCTGAACTGTGCTGTGTAAACAGGTTCCTCCTGACTCATCAGAGGGTGTTGGTTGCAGCTGTGTGGCATTAGCTGCTTGGCTGTGTATTTAGCAGACCAGAATATTACTGACAGGTGAGAACATAGTGGTGTATTTGAAACCTCCAGGCTTCATAAAAGGTATTTTGTTCTCAGCATGATCCTTTTTCCAAAGTGATTTCATTGGTTAAAATTCATCACAAACATGGCCAGACAGTTCTCTACCATTTTTCCATGACCAGTTGGGGTCTTGTATATTCCCACCCTGACTTCGTGTGTGAACAAATGTTGGTTGTATTTTTAGAGTATAAAGGTTGGGTAAAGTGATCCATTTTTCTCAATCACGATATAACACGAGATATGTGTCACAAACTGGTCCTTATGGCTTAAAGTAATATCCATTCTCTCTTAATATATTAAGTCTTGAATGAAGTCTCATTGGCAGATGCTGATGGAATCCTAGGAAGAGAATCCAGGTGCTGGGTAGCTGGGTCACCAGTGAGTGGGTAATACATAATCTTACCACGTACTCCATTAGCCATACTGTGAATAACTTGTGAATGAATGCACATGTTTGTAGTGTGGTGTCCATTTGTAAAAATGTAGAAAGAATAAAACTTCTAAACTCACTTTGAAGGATTCAGGTGTGTTTAGTTTTTGAGAAAGTATTGATGGGAAGGATGCTTATTTAGTCATTTCTAGTGAGTATACTGAAGAAAAAAACATTTGTTTGACTATTCTGTCCTGGAAATTTTACTTTAAAATATCAGAGATAATATTTTCATCTTGCAGGTAGTATTTTAATGGAAATACACCTTTTAAATTGCCCTATTATGGCAGTGGGATTAAGTGAAATGCTTAGTTGCTAAACCCTCGCATGGGTGGGAATTTCTGCATAACTGCTGTTAGGGATTACATACACATCCTCTATTTATTGCTGGTAACACTTGGCTGAGAAAAACAGATTTATCCCTAGAGGGGTTTAGAGGTTTCTTTTTGTAATTCCCGTATAAATAGGGTTAGTGTGGACCCATTGTGTAATTTTGTATGGCGTTTATACCGAGAAGTGGATTTGGCCAGACAGCATGGGGTTAGAGTGAAACCTTTATTGGTCTTGAAATAGAGTCATATAAGACTGCATTTGTTTTTTCATAATATTTGAACTCATGAAGTTGCTTCCTGGTCCTGAGCTACTGTTTTGTGTCAAAGACTTCAATTAGGGCGGTAATGGCACGGCTCAACTTCTGGCACTGGGTTCCTGTGTCTTATTTTAGTCTCAGATGCCGGAGAACTGCTCCATCTGGAACAGAAACAGCCGGAACGTGGTGATTTTGAAGATAGTTACAGTGGCGCAAAAGACATGGCCATTTGGGTGAACAGATTACTAGAGGAATTACCATCTTTTCTTTCTTCCTTCCTTCCTTCCTTCCTTCCTTCCTTCCTTCCTTCCTTCCTTCCTTCCTTCCTTCCTTCCTTCCTTGTTTTTCGAGACAAGGTTTCTTGGTATAGTCCTGGCTGTCCTGGAACTCACTCTGTAGACCAGACTGGCCTCGAACTCACAGAGGTCCACCTGCCTCTGCCTCCCGAGTGCTGGGATTAGAGGTGTGTGCACCACCGCCCAGCCTCAGATACTTTCTATAACATGCAGCTGTGGCATGTAACTCAGTGAGCTGACTGTCATCAGCAATGCTAATTAAACAAAGGTGACCGCCATATACATGCCATGTGTTACCTGTTTTTCCGGTGACGTCACTATTTTCCCCCCAACACGTGCTGAAAAGATGATGGAATTTGAACTTTTCCTTAGACATGGAATGACTTCCTTTTGTTTTCAACAATGCTTTGGGACACATACACCGACTTACAGTAGGTGTAATATTTCTGTAGTTGCCAACTTGTTGTCTTAGGTTCAGACGATGAACTCTGATGAAATATCTGGGTGAGAAGAGAGCAGGGTTAAAGTCTTTAGGCATGTCTTGTTTCAAACAATTTGCTCAAGAAAAAAATTGGGGGGAGTGTTAGGGCTGCTACCTAGAACATTAGAAAATTTCATTACAGCATGAGATTTTATTAAATAGTAAAGGAAATAGTATATATTGTATAAAAGTGAAATGTTACCTTGCTTTGAGTCTTAATATTTAAAATAGAAATATTGTATAAGGGGGTAAGGGACAACAGTGTGCATTCATTTGGCAAGTTTGTGGAGTATCTTCCTGTCCAGGGACTGCTCGAGATACAGTGGGGACTGAACCAGGCCAGGCTTGTGATTGAGCACAGACTCTAAGGGAGAAGAATAGTAGGAAAAAAAAAAAATGAATGGCCGTTATGTCAGTGGAGGCAAATGCCGAGATTCTGTGCTGGATGAGGCTGTTGGAGCTGCTGCTGAGCCATTGTGGATGTGGTGGTTGTTTCTCGGCTGTGCCCAGTGTTTGGCAGAGGCTTCTCGGTCCCTTTCCCACTCACAGTTGGTAAGGAAGTTTGGAGGAGTCAGTCTTTTGGGGGAATGTGATTTGAGACAGCAGGTGCTTCGTGCTTCCTTGTCTTGTTTCGGGTACCTGGAGACGTACAGGGGTGGGTTGTAGAGACTGGCGTGGTGGAGCTTCTTCTACTTCTCAGTACGGTGACCTGGCTGATGACTTAGGTGACTGATGATTTCGCTCCATTTTTCTGCAGTGGACCTCCTTTCACCCCCCCTCCTGTTTTTTTTGTTTTTGTTTTTTTTTTTTTTCTTTTTAACCTTCAAAATCATGGCCAAGCATTGTCTTCCTTTCTTAGACCCTTCCTCAATGACTCCTCTTCAACACAGAATTGACTAGACCCCTCCTCTCTTGGGGTTAGTGTGATGCCTTTTAGTAGCCCAGAAATACCAGCTTTGTGTTTGCATGCCCATCTCTGTGATGTTTTCTTGAGGATAGGAAATTTAACTTTGCTGTCTTGGTATTTTGGGGTCCAGTATAAGGTATGTAGTACATTTCTGATGAATAAAGCAGAGATGAAGGAGAGACTTGCAGATCTGCATTAGTGCCTGGAAACAGGTCAGTGTCAAGTGACAGATCCACAGAGGCGAAGTAGCATATTAATCAAGGGTCCTGGGCTAAGAACTGTCTGGAATTCTGGTCCTTCCACTCTGGATATAGAGACTTTTGAGTTTCAGAGGGATTAAATGAAATACTATGTCTAGGATTAGCAAGTACACTGAATAAATGTTAGTTATCGTATATGACCACCTACTTGTTAGACATTCCCCAGGAGATAATGTTATAGGAATCTGACATTTATATTATCAAACCATGGTTAGCACAACTAGTTTACTGACATTGAAACTAATAGAATTTCTAAGTCCAACAATATGAAGTTTTTTTTTTAATTAAAAAAATTATTTATATTTTTAAGGATATGAGTGCTCTGCATGTATCCCTGCATGCTAGAGGAGGGCACCAGATCCTATTGCAGATGGTTGTGAACCACCATGTGGTTGCTGGTGTTTGAACTCAGGACCTCTGGAAGAGCAGCCAGGGATCTGAGCCATCTCTCCAGCCCACAATATGAAGTTTTAAGTGGCTAGGTCTTCACATTGTTAGCTATGTAGGAGAGACCATTTGCCAGTACCTCCCAGGACAGTGGGTATGATTAACCTTTGAAAATGTACTGACCAGGTAGGCAAGTAGTGGTTTGATCTATCGTATCCCTTCCTGGGTTTCCTATGGTATCATAATTGCGATGGTTTTTGTATCTGTTCATGGAGCGCAGATTCTCTGGCTACCGTAGTACTGTGCTGTGTTGTAATCTTTGGCTTCAGTCTCCTTGTCACAATGCAGGCTCCTTAAGGGCTCATTTGCAGTTTATGAGTACCTCACCTCATCTCTAGTGTGTACAGATTGATTCCCAGGAGATTTGGATTTTGAATTTGAATTAGTATTATTCCCCCAGGAATTTTTTGGGGAGGTGGGGTGGACCAGACTCCTGTTTATATCAGACATTTTCACAGATCATTAACTTTTAGAGGCAATTCCCTTGGGTACAAAAACAAGTTGAAATACACCAGGCTATGTTTTAATTCAGTTCTTCCTGTACATCCAGAATTATCTCGAGCTTGAAAGACACTGTTGTCTACCTGCTTAGTATCCTACCTCTGTACACCTGGATGAAAAAGGACCTACCCTGTGAAAATCACGACTGTTTCATTTACAGGATGTGGGGGAGGGACCTTATTCTGAATCTTTGGCTGCAAAGATAGGAATCTTTCTTGCTCTCCTTTCTATTTGGCCCAATCACATCGAACTTTCTAGAGTGCTTAGAGTTGGATTCTCAGCACAGTCAAAAATGTATTAACTGGTATAACTTGGAAAGCCCTACCCAAAAGATGTTTGGGATGTCAGCAAGTGGTGATTTGTAAGTTCTAGAGAAAACAGGAAACTGTTTTCAAAAGAATGTTATCCTAAGTACCTGCTTATGAGGTTTGAGGAGATGATTGCCTAAAGAGGCTCGCTGGAAGAAGCTCTTCCTTGGATAGGTTTTCTTCCACAGGTGCATTGTATTGTATTTG